AATCTTTGCTGAATAAAGGCATTGAGTTCTTTTAAAAAAAAAATAATTACACACCCTGAACTTTATTACTTTAAGACAGATTTTGCGTCTTGTATAAAGTAATCCTGACTTCTAATTTTAGACAGTAAACACATTATATCCCAAGAGTGTTTTAGACAACAGTTTGTAGATTATTCCTTACGTGTGAACATTTAACCATTATGCGATACTCCTTAGACGTCAGAAAGCATGACCCTGAGCTCAAGACCAACTGACCAGAACAACAAGGCTTTAAGAGTCCTGCCAGGGCACACTGACCACTCCGTATGGATGGCTTTGGTTTACTTCTGCAACTACAATGGTTGCTTTTATGCCCAGGCTCCATATCCCAAACCACGGAGTTCATCACCCATAACAATTTTCCCAGTATTATAAAGACTTACTCACAAAAGCAAAACATTAACTATGATTTGGGGGGCATTTAACAATAATGCAACAGGAAAACTTTGATCGCCATTGTGCACAGGACTACCTAATGAGATTTCAAAGTCTCATTTCTTTGATAATACGTTCTTAAGTTCATAATGAGTAACAGAAAAACTTCCACTTGTGAAGTGCTCTCAATGTAATTTTCTTCGTTAATAAACATACATTTTTGACTTTCATTTAGGTCAAATTATATACTAATATTTATTTTAAATAATTAGGTTTGATTACAAATTACCTCTTCAGACTTGTATAAACATAATCAAGAATGCTGAATGATTTCTATCGTTCTAGACCAGCTCTCAAACTTTGGAAGACCATTTTGAGGAATTCTGTGAGGAATTCACCTCAAATACAACATTTTAAGTAGTACACTACTTATATTAATTATATCTCTTAATCTCTATCCTTATGTGATGAATAAATAATTATGCCAGTCTGTTGTTTTGTTCTAATTTAATTTAAACGAACTAGACTGCAACTTTTAGCTAATGAACCAAATAAGCCAACAGTTCACTATAAGAACTGGATAACTGTCATTTCTTTTATTGAAGTAAGATGTTTAAAGATAGCCTGGTTCTACCAGACTCTCGTACATTTCATTTGTACAGAGAGTCTGGCCTCGCTCCATTGAGAAACGTTTACTTCCTTGTAGGCGGGTTCTCTGTTAAAGATCAAAACTATTGGATCTGCCCAGCGTCACTCAGGATCTGCCATAGCCAATCGCTAACGTGTGGTCGTGACGTATGTCATGCGCCGAAACCGGCTGGAAACAACAAGTCCGAATTCCATATTCATAAATCTAAATATCTAAATGCTAAACCTCTCTTTCTTATATTTGTGAAAGAATTTTAAAAATACCTCTTTTCAATTAAGTTGTCTGAGAACAAAAAAAAGCCTTAAAAACATTATCTGTTTGTAATTATTTTCCTTTTTTCAGTGTCATGTAATTCTCTTAACTTGTTCATGTTTATTTTATATTATCCCCCTACTGTTTTATTTTTGTTTTGTTTTTATTATTATTTTTTGTTTGTTTTTGTATTATGTTTTCTGTTATTACTTGTGTATTGTTTTAAGCAATAAAAAAAAACAAGTCCGAATGATCAGAGGATTATGTTTAGAATAAGATGTCTGTCAACGAGAGCTGCATGTTTTGTTCATCGAATTTAAGAGTTCAAGGAACAATTCTAAATGTATATTTGACACTAAGGACAGTGATGTATTCAGTCAACTGTCGAAGCTGGGTGTAATCATTAACAATACGCCGCTGCGGTCGTTTCGGATCTGCCGCAAATGCTGTACAGTGATCATCGTGCACACCGAGCTGCCCAGCACCAACTCCTAACCTCTCTGCCTCCCTCACTTGGTCCTCCATTAGTGCAACAAGAGGAGACGACAACAACTATCGGCTTTGCATCCTATCGTTCGCCTTAGCTAACTCATCCACTAGCGGAGTGAGCTGGAAAATTAAACTTTTCCCGAACCCCGTGGGGAGGAGGGCCACAACATCATGGCCACCAACAACACTTAGCAAACATTGATCTTGCTCCGGCTTTAACTTCTGGATATTCGGCAGTTTTGCAACAACGGACCGAATAGATTTTCTCACGTCTTTCTCCGCTGCCGTTACTGAACTCCAACTCAAACTGACGCGCTACATCAACGTCATCGTTCTCAGCCACTCCCTCTGTTCGCTGATTGGACCGGTAAAAAAATTATTTCTGGAAACCAAAGTCTACAGCACAATCCCAGACGTAGTACTGAAGGAAAATAAAATTGAGCGGAAGTGCGTAGGAGGGCGGAGCCAGGCTACTGCACTCCTGCCTTTCCTTCCTAAATTAGTTTATGTACTAAACATAAAACACACACACACCTCATTTATTTCTTGTTAATATTCTTGACCTTACTTCGAGTGGCATACCTTTAATAGGCCTACATAAAAACAAAACCCAGAGACTGGTTTGGTTTTGTAAACTAGCAATTCAGCCAAAGCGACACACTTGCAGATGATAAAAGTAGCGTGCAAGGTTATAGATTTGCACGTGCTGCCAAAAGTAATATCGGCCTAACCTGTTAAGTCAGATGGGGATGACTTTGCTGCGGTGTCATTGCAGGTGACTTGTTCCTGAATGCCCTCAGTGATACTTCATGACCAGTTCATTTACTGACTAAACTTGTTATAAAAATGAAAAGGTTCCTACAATGGGGATATACAGTGCAAACAAATCAAATAAACCACAGTCACTGAAAAAGTCACAGGAAGCAGGTTTTTGATTTTCTCAATAGCATAACAACAAGGCATCGCTTTCTTTTGAAGGAGATCCGATATTAATCTCTCATGACAACACAAATTGTAGTATGCTTGGTTACTAAGGTGCAATAAGGGGAATAACGTGCCACCACCATGAAAATAACACCAAAGAAAAACACATTCTCCACCTCAGTCTTAAAGTGAATGACTGGTTTTGAACAACATTGTGAAGGTGAAAAACAACCTGTTTTCTGGGATTCTTTTTATTGGGATCATGTGGTCGTTGCATTTATTTACAGAGTGTTATTCATAACTCACGTGTACACACACAAGCTTTTTAGATAAGAAATGCTGGGTGATAAACTAACACGCCATAGAGCTAACCTAAAAACAAAGGCGCAATTAACAGTGCCAGGTGGGATATATTAAAATCCAGATGCAATATGCAATTTTAAACATTCCATTTATGTCCATGCTCATGATAAGCACTGACATACAGTGGCACTTGATTTATTAAAATAAAAAGTTAAATAAGGAAGTATTAGAACATCAAACCTCTTGAACTCAAAGGGAAAATGTTATCAGTGGTCAATAAATTGTATTTTGTCTTTAAATGCTGAGTCATGGATGTATCCACTGACTGATCTACAAAATCCCAGGACCAACAGTGGGAAATATGGGAAAGATGTTATAAAAATATCTAAATTAGCCAACTCAGTGATGAGATGATAAGAATTATTTTACATTGGCGAAAAAAAAGCAACTAAATTAAGAAATGCATTTCTGGCCATTTGCACTGTCACATAACATTAGGAATAACCCCCTCATCCTATAAACAGGGGTTATGCTTAATGCAATATCTCATTTTAATTGCAACGAGCAAATATTCTGCTACTGACCCTGTTTAATACATCATAACAGAAATTGTTTTACATGTTCAGTAAAGCCTACCAAATTAATATTCAAGAACTGAGACTTAATTTCCCGACGTCACAATCAACGTGTATGACGGACATTACAACTGAGGAAGTCGAAAACGCTAAATTCAATTTAAAAATCATTAATCAGTTCATTAGTGGGAGTTGTAAGCGGAAAAATGTGAAACAGACAAAACCTAGACAGCTGCCAACCAAGATAACATTTTAGACATTTAGGCACGCGCCGTTATGACACACAGCAAGGCGCTTTTATGTACCAACAATTATATTCGCTTATAGACATGTCATACACCAAATATAAAATGAAACGGGGGTAATCAGTTCCAGTAGGATACCGTCCATAAGATATAGCCTACATCTTACAACGCCAAATAACCCTAATTCACCTTCACATAGAAACCGAAACACCTCTTGCATGCTGTCAGTGGGTAGCGATCTAGATTTTACCTTTTTATTCTCGTAAAACTCAAAGCCCTAACAGAAACATGCACTCAAAATGTGCACTACGACCAGTTTAAATCAATGCAATTAATTACCGGTACTATCTTCTTTTTTCTTTTTTTTGTCCGCTTCACTCCCCGGACGCATGATAGTTAAACAGTCGAACGACATGCAAAGCTGCAATAAATACCGAAATATCCGAGATGTTAACTAATCCTGTGTGTGGCTTGTTACTCCACGCTGTGGTAACCAAAAGGATATATATTCAGACGAGCTCGCTACAGGTTGCTCTCCTAGAGCCGCGATAAAATGGTCAGGTTAAATTGGATTTAATTCCCATCCTCAGAGTCGCAATCCCAGCGAAAACGTCCGGCTGCATGGATGGTACTACAATAAACAGCAGATTCACGATTAATTAAATACTCATTTAACCGTTCAGAGCGATTTATTTGATCAATATGTTCATTGAAATATAGATTAAAATATGACCTGGAGAAGCGCGAGTTTACAGTCTGATAAATGCGCGTCATCATCAGTATAAACAGGGGTTATGCGTGCATAACTGATAGATATAGTAGCAAAGTTTAAAAATGCGAAACCACAGAGATATAACGTTAGCGTTAGCGTCTGCAGGGACTAAATCATGCGATGCATAAGAGCTGTCCGGGCTTTAAATCGGTTGCGAACATTTGGCAGCGCAACATCGTACACTCCCCTTGTCTCACTAGGGTAGAACAAATGTGGGTCACCGGGCCTTCGGATTCTTCCCAGGCAAGCATTAAAAAACACACCACCGTATTTTCACCGCAAGTACGCTTGAAACAAATCCGACACGAATAAGACACTAGAGCTCCACTGCTCCTTCTCAAAATAATGCTATCTTTCAAACCCGCTTGTGCTCTTACCTCGGTTATTTGCCGTCCAGGAGGGGGATTTTCTTGCGCCTTGTTTTGGTTGAGACGGCAGTGTAGGATTGAACTAGAGTTAGAAAAACAGCAGGGCCTACCCTAGGCTTCCCACGCGCATGCGCAGTACGACCAGAGCTGAATCCCACACAATCTGGCAACACACAGCAAGACCTGGCTTCTAGTTTGTATGCGAGTTTTTTAATTACTTGTCATTGTATAGATTAGAATACAATTCATAAACAAGAAACAGACAGGTAATTCAGGAAGGAAGTTACATTTAGAAATATAGTAGATCATGGGGAGTTCCCAAAACGAATCCTAGAGAAAGGAGAAACTCTATTGAAATGACGAAAAATAGGCTACATAAATAAAATAAAAAATACATCGCATACAATAAATTAAAATATATATATTAAAAATAGGCACAACTGGGAACAAACAGGACACCGAAATGTCATAAACAATAAACAGAAAGGTTAATTAGCGCCAATGGAATTAAATCATGAAATATAGCCTAGCAGATCATAGAGAGTGCCTAAAACGGCTTAGGCTATTTATAACAGATAAAGAAAGGATAAATCTGTCCACTATTATAGAATTAATAAAAATAAAACATTTAATAATTTAAATAAATAAATAATAGAAATAGGCACAACTGGGAAAACCAAAAAATATAAACACTAAGATTCGATCATGCATTTTAAGTTTTGGCAACCTTTATATATAGCCTACATATATATATATACAGTATATAGGCCTATATAATAGCCTGACAGCTTTAGGCTAAATCTAAACATCATTTTTTTTTAATCCTGCAAAAATGTTTATATTCTACTAATAATCTATGAGTTTTAAAGTGAAGAAAAGAGCTCTAATATAAAAATTTAAATGAGAAAAAATGAATCAGTCTTTGGAGGAATTAACTATAAAATGTATACACGAAATGTATCACTAAAATGTTTGACATATTTGCCTATGAATCATGTGAAATCATTTTTATTTTTAGCTATTGCTTGGTCTTTCACGAAATGCGATTTAGCCTTTCTTTTTGAAGTTATTAGCCTACATTTCACTGCTTCCGTAGCGGTTTTAAAGTTTCAGTTATTTCAAAAAGACAATACCTTGCTGCTATCTTTTAATGATTGTGTGTTGGTGTGAATTTTATGTTATACAAACGTTCCTAATCTTTGGCCCACATGTGTCGCTCTCTCTCTCTCTCTCTCTTGGCCGTAAGCCAATTAGGTCAAATACGCACGTCAACCAATCTTGAATGTGGCACAGCGCGCGAAAAATTTAGCGCATGACGTATTGAATGACATTTGTCTTGTCCAATAGAAAGATGATGCGAGTGCGCGACATGCTGCGAGGAGCTGTTAATGGAAGCCAGGTACAATTATATATATATATAATTATATTTCGTAATATAATTATATATATATATAATTATATTATTGCTCGTTTTAAAAGAGAACCAAGGCAATTTCTATGTGTTTTTTTAAAGGTTATTTAAAAAAACCTTTACTTGATTTGCATTAAGTCCATAGTGTACTAATTTTCTTAGTGAAAACATGTAATGCTTCAGTGACATACAAATCAGTGCGGTCGAGAGCAGCACGCACAGACGTGTGGAAATTAGTGTCTGACTGTTCATGTTTAAATCTAACTCAACATGATGTGTAGACCATACAGTTATATTATTTATGGTAAATGAAAAAAATGTATCGGCCTATACATTTTGCACAATGTTTTTTTTTCTTCTTCTTTCTGCTAATTATTATTTAAGTGAGTGACAGGGTGTCCGTGGAAAAGTCTAGTGAGGTAAATAAATAAATAGATAAATCAATAAATATTAAGATGATTAATATTAAAATAAACAAAAAATTATTAATATAAATATTCAATATTATTAAAATTAAATAAATAAACAAACAACTAAATATTAGCTACATTTAACAGTGCACTACTATGAGTAGAAAAATATACGTAAGCAGCCTACGTAAAAATAGCTGATATTATTGTACTAGACTAATTTTAGATTTATAATTTAAAAAAATGATATAGGCTATATAAATTGGGTGTTTATAAAAGGTGGATGCCTTTTCAATAGGGGCCCTCACTCGAGGATGATCATATTTGGGGGTCCATGGCATCTAATCTAATTTAAAATGGCTGTAGGCTTACCGTGTAAAGCAATAGGCTGATTATTAGGCCTGCATCTATTGTTGTAAATAGTAACGATAGACATTAACTTAGCCCACTACTTTTTCATGACGGAAAATATGTAGGAAAATATAATATTTATTTTACAAAAAAACGATCTGACTGTTTGTCACGCACTGTTTCTATTATGAGTGGAGATCTCGTGACACCCAGTGGCGCAAAGCTTCAGACACCGTGCCACTATAATGCAGTGACAAAATAACCACACGGTGGTGCTGTTATCATATTAAATTCATTAGATTGAACTTATTGAACAAGGTTGGCTTGATTTTTGCTTTATCTCGCCTCAAACTTGAAAACATTACCACACTATCCAGGGGAGAGCGGGCTCAGTTGCTGTGGTTTGGCTGCAGAGCTGGTTCTGCAAACAATGGGCACCTGAATAATACAGATTGAATAGTTGAACTCTCACTAAGAAAGTATCTGTAATCTTTTAATTATGTTTTTATTATTTGCCTGTGGAAGCAGTACAATTTAACATAGGCCTACTTAAAAAATACATTAAAGGCTACTTAAGTGCGAACTGAATGTAATGTTTTTGGACATTAAACATGTTAATTAAATGAAAATTTATTTTTTAAATAGCCTATATTTTAAATGTTTTATATTCATGTTTTTTTAGACCCACTTAAGTAGTAGCCTAAGAAATTTCATAATTACTCTATAGGCCTACTTCAATAATTGTCTTTGAAATATGGTTAAAGTGTACAGCTGAATGACAAGCTTTTATGGTAAACTGAAATACTTTAATGTTATTTCTATTGAAAATTGTGTCATATAGTCTATTATATAAATATGTTTGTAATTACACATTTGTAATAATGAAGTTGCAATTTAAAACATTTAAAATGTATTAACTTTAAATGTAATAATGAACAACAGACTACAGTTAAAATTATAATGTTAGTCAAGACATCCACAAAAAAAAACTTGCTGCCTTAAATTTTCAAAGTACAATCAACATTTCAACTAAAAAATATAACACTTACTTACTTTGGAACACTGAAAATTGAGTCGAATCTCATATAACTTTAAAAATAGTTTAAAATAGCTTAACTTATTTTGTGGCCTTTTATTTCATAATTATTATCTATAATCTGTAAAAAAAAAAAAAAAAAGTGTACCTTTTAAGATTTGAAGTACACTAAGTGCACATTCGATGCAATTAAGCACACTCCTTTTTTATAAGGGTCCATAGGGCAGTATACAGTTTCAGTTATTGTTTCAGCCGTGTTTAATAATTTAATTTTGCAAATACAACCATATACAAAATTAAATTAAAAACACTAGAATTGTTTTTCTTTATAATCTTGATTGTGCATGTATGGGTTACAGTCATTTGTCAGGTAAATACTGCAAATTAAACAACACTTAAAATGCAGGTTGGAGAACGTGGTTCATTATAAGATTGTAAATTAAGCTAATAAATCTTCTATTATAAAAGTGTATACTCAAGGGCATAAAAAATATCAGAGGGGGCAAGTAATCTCAGTTCCTAGGTCATTGCGGTTACCAATAAACCAGAAGTGTTTGCAACCCAAATTAGCCCTTAGACTATAACAAATTAGATCTTCAGCAGCTTCTGTGTGTGTTTCATTTGTGTATTTTTCTCATGCCCTCAGATTAATTGCGTTCGACGTCTTTTCACAACCCCGAAGCTTGCTTTTTCACACCCAGCCCACTACAAAACACCCACTACAGGACTAATGTGTTTCGAGTTGTACCCTCAGGTCTGTCTAGAACCGGTCAAGTGATCTTCCACATCTACACACCCATGTTTTCTGTCACAAGTTTCTAAAAGGAAATGCAGTCACGATCCATGACGTACTTCATTATTTCAGGCCCCTGTTCATCCTCACATGACAACATCTTAATAAACACATTTATGAGAACAATAGACCATAAGCAAGATTCAGCTAAACCGATAAAGGACTGAAAAGAGACGTTTATCAAAAAGGATGCAGTTCTTGAAACATGCTGTTTGGATGGTCAAATCTAATTAAAATGGAAGTGATCGGAAGTGAAGTTTGATTAATGCTTTTTGACTAATTGTTGTAGATAGCACGATAACAAAAACACACACATTCATCAAGAGAAAGAGGAAATGAGCAACCAGAGTCCCACCAGTGCTTTCAAGAAATAACTGAAGAGAAAAAGAAATATTTTATTTCTTTGTTTTTGGTGTGAAAACCCCGTACAGTCAATTTGGTCAAAATCACACTGGCACGATGAGGAAACATTTTATAATGCTTTTAATTCAAAAGGCACAGCACAGTTACACAAACAGGACATTTGGACAGATAAAAGACTTTATTTGGATTCTGTACATTCAAAATCACAATTTAACAGGAGGGTGTTTTCTGGAACGAGTTATGTGATGTTTCAGGTTGACTGGCTCTGGATCATCACATCTGTGGCAAAGGGTCTGGTGCTACTGAAATTGTTAATGAAGAAGAGACTGTTTATATATATATATACACAGAGACATTAGTATAGCTCAAATATGTTTTTTGTAGGTTTAAGTTCACACTCTAATGCCATGAAAGACCAATGCCCTGTATATCAGTATATGGAAATGTATATTGTATTGTTGTATATTTAAATGTTTTTCTGTATTTTTGTCCCGTGACTCTACCCATGCAGTGCACTTGTAGAAAACACATGAGATTTGAAGAAACAGCTTTAAATGATTATCTCAGTTCATCATGAAATACCTGATTTTTCCATTCTTTATTGTTTTACACATACTCAGCAGATCTTCTACCATTTCGTGGCTGCAGAGAAGCACAAAGAAAAAAAAAACTTAACCATGGTAATGCAAGGTCCGATTTCAAACAATTTTCACAGGATGAGTTCTGAATGTTTAAGCTTTCGAATGATACCTAATTTATGATGATTACA